TGCATTCGAACACAAACACAGCCATTCAGAAAAAAAAATGTGGACCCTCAAATGGAAAGAAGTCTGAAAGTCTTGAATTAGCAGGTGTCCAGGGACCATATCTACGTTGGTTACTCCCATTCCTACTTTCGTGTGTACTTGACATCAAACACAAGAGAAAATTGGTAAACATCATCCTTCTTTTTTCGCTCAATAATTTAGGTTTCATGCATCATGCCAAGGGTAACTCCTGCCGCTACATCAATCTCAAGTTCGAAAAGTTCATTCCTTTTACACTTCTTTTTTAAGTATAAAGGAGACTACGCACTCAATAAGAGAGCGAAATTCCATCTTATGCATCTAAATAGGGTAGCACAAACTTCATTAGAGAAAGAAAACTTGGTGAACGACTGTGCAACTAACCGAGGCTTCCTTCTCTACGGGTGCACTCCATAGCTCTTCTTCATAACGACGAAGACCAATTTCAACCTCCTCATTGAATTCTGCATGATGCTTAGAACGAGAAGTAAAATCACCGGTTCTATCCAAAGTCCGTTTCATGGGCGTCATGATTATCAGTTTATTCACAATATCATCACCAATTTCTTCGAAGGCATCCGCACTGAAATAACATTGAACATTGAGTTCTGCTTCGTCACGTTTTATAAGGAAGTAGTTAAAAAGAAACCCGTGCTCAGTATGAATTTAGTGGCTGAAAATATGAAGCTAAAAACTGATTAAAATATGTGAGCATAAACTTCACTGAGAATTAAGAAGTGATTTCGAAGAAAAAGTCGTAGAGGAACGTCTCAACTATTATGTAATTAGACTAGTAGCAAAACTAATTCGAGTAAATGAAGGGTACTTAAAGCATAAAACATTTGCGGAAGGTAAACCATCCAAACATCAACACACCTCAAGGAAATTCCCAGGTAAATCGTCAAGAAATCAACATACCTCAAACGAATTCCTTTCACAGATTTCTCCCGTTTGGCGGTTTCATTGCCGCCTGTGTTGATTTCCAACTCATTATCGAACTGGAAATCTAAATCCTGCTCTCCACTACTTGTATCTTTGACGGTCGCAGACTTTTCAGCACGTCCTTTTCCTTTCCTCTTTGGCTTCACTTCCTCCCACTCCTTAATGATTGATCCTTTTCATACAGAAAAAAGGAATGGTTGTTAATCAAACCTCTTCTGCCGAGCCAGTAGGTTTTGAAGAAGACGAGTGCGGCTGCATCTTTTTCTCAGCAGCGGGAGGCTGTATACTTGGTGTTGGCGCATCAGTTTTAGAAGGCGCGGCACCTTTCTTAAAATTTTATTATGTTAGAATGAGTTCCGAAAAAGATTCCACAATAAAATATAGAAAATAAATCATATGTCAAAAAAAGATTCATAACTATCATTGTCAGAAATTCAGCCAGTGAAGACCGTTACCAGTGCCCAGAAAAAAACTCAACTAGTGCAATTCTTAACACTTACATCGGTTTGCTTAGATTGCTGTTCCTGTTGAGTTTTCGTCTGGCTTACAGACGGTTCAGCAGTAGACCCGGATGCTGTGTTGGTGACTGTCTCACTTTGACTTGATGTAGGCTGAGCAGGATGTACTGTAGGAGTCAAAGGCCACTCTGTAGGATTCAAACGAGGACGAACCATATTTGCATCCTCGGATAACTCTACCTGAACTCTGAGATTGTGCTACGTTCATATCACGAATACTCAAATAGATGTTACCTTTTCGCTATCTCGAAGACCTTCGCAAATCAGCGTAAGATCCTGGGTCAAAGATCGGACACGCGGAAATGAAGCAATAAGCGTGATGGGCAGAAAACCTTCAGAATTCATCTTGCGGCGCAAAAAGAAATCTTTCTGAAGGTTATCCGCAGAGAAGTAATACTCACTGAAAAGGAATTTGTTGTGCAAAAAGCTTTTATTGTTCAACTGTAATAAAACTAACATTTGCTTTCGAACACAGTCCTTCAACGTCTCATCGTTCAGCGGCACGAAAGGAGGTTGAGTTGGATATATTGGAGCAAATGGTATGGCCGTATTGATGGAGTCGCTAATCGCAGCGGTGAGCACTGCGCCTTGTGGGCTGAGAAGCGGTGCGACACCAACGGGTTCTGGAGGAGGTGCAACAATGTGCGGCTGCATGAGAGGAATAGCGGGTCGAAAGCCGAATGCAGCCATGTGCTGCTGTGCCTGCTGTATCATCATACTAGCGACTTGCGGGTCCATTCCCCCTACACCGTCAAACGGCGGTATCGACGACATCGCATAATACTGCGCATACTGCGAATCCATTAGATTCATGTAGTCGAAATTGTCTTCACCGTCCTGAATTTCCTCCCAATCTGGAAGAGGACCTCGAGCTTTACGTTGTGCTGGGGTGAGTTTCGGAGGAGCATGTGGGTTTCTCGACTGGTATCTATCATTGCGTTGATAGAACGCTCTCGGCTTGTCACTGTCTCTTCTCTCGGCATTCTTATGCCAATAATCGGATTTGGCATTGATTCCGCGCACCTCACTTCGCACACCTTTCGATGATCCCGTTGAAATCCGATTACCTCCGTTGGCGAGAGGTTGAGGCTTCTCTTCTTTCTGAGGAGACTGAGGCTTCTTCGTGACTGGAGTCGCCGTTGCGGCTTTTGCAGAAGTGGTTGATAGTTCCGGTGAAGACATCGGCCCAACAACAACGATTTGCGAATCGGTTGTCTCCTCACCACTCAGATTCTTTTTCCAGCCTTGATTGCTGCCTTGTGTGTAATAAATACCATTCGTTGTGTTGTCAATTACCCTGAAATAAGTGTGACCGAGTAACCTTGTTGGAAACGATAAGAATAATACGGAAGAGAGCCAGAAAGAGGAAAAAGAGCAGAAATGACTGAATGAATGGAATGGGTGGGAACACGAAAAACCTAGGAAATATTGATCCGGAGTTCGGAAAGGCGTCGTGTTCACGGATGGTCCAAAGCATAGAAAGAGGGGGACCGAAACAGCGCAGGCGAACAAGAGGTGCAGCAAAGAGGGTCGCCGAAAGAGCGCTGCGGTGCAGAGGTTATCGACGGCGCGTGTGAATTATGGAGCTGCAAGCCCCAGCTGACGGCGAAAGCAAGCACATTGGACTTCTATCTCTCCCCTCACACTAAACGATTATATCGGTCTCTATCTACATAAAACAACCGTAAGGGATTATAAAGTCTACGACAGAAACTGTTAGAACACGTATTGGATGGGACAGACGGAAAACCTATGTACACTGGTTGATCGATCTGTGGGTACGTATGACATGTCCTGACCTTGCATAATGATAAGACGATGATCCCTCGAAGAAACATCACATACGCAGCAATGGATCGCGGTTTAATAGTTTAATAAGATAATAAAAATTGAATGTATGAAGCGGCCAGCGAACCTCAAACAACACAACGACATAACGTCAAAACCAAACTCCTGGTGTGCGGCATGAAGCCCGGCAAAACACAGACAATTATGCACCCACATGTAATCGATATTTTCTAGATTCCTCTGCAATACACCGCCAAGACAACGCGCACCACACATTGCACTATGTGTACTACAAATAATTGAGGCTGTACCAACTGAACAATACTGATACCATGATATATTTACTTCACAATCCTACTACACACAACAGTGCTCGCTAATGTGCATTCTTTCTAACCATTTTGATCGAAAAGTGCTTATTAGCACGTATGTGTACAAGAATAGCGGCAGCGAGTGCAATAAAAGGTAGCACCTTCATCACCTCTACTGTCAATAGATCGAATCGCACCCATTCCAACGCCTCATATCCATGCAACTCATTTGCTGCTATTTCAGACTTGTCTGTAGGCTCGCAATTAGATTGCCACCCATCTGCTTATTGCTCAACCCTACACGCATTTTTTACCTTGCGACTCTTGAGACGGTGCCAAATGCGCAATGTCACAAATTGAATAACCAAGCCCACAAATGCCTTTTTGTCTGTTTAAGCAGAGGAGTACCACCAAAAGCAGAAGGTACACCTTTATGAAAATTCGAATCAGAAAAAAAAACTATAAAAAATTGCAGCAACGTTCGAAAAAAGTAGTTCGAATAAGGGCGGAAGTGGTGTAGTGGCAAGTGGCACGCTTACCACGCGAGCGGTCCGGGGATCAAATCCTGGGTCGTGAGTCGCCCGGGCCAACCAAGCCTTCCATCCCTCCGGGGTCGGTTAATTGGTACCAGACTTGTCTGGGAGGATAAAAACACTGACTTGTACATCGGCTGGCCCCCGCAAGTCATTGTATAGGCCACATCGCATTCAAACGCCACTACGAATGTACAAATGGAAGTAGAATGCGTGCCGCATCCCAAAAAGGGATTGATCAACGGCAAATGCTTTATCCTTTTTATCCTTTTACCCTTTGACGGTCCCTCTGACGAGAATTTGAACTAAGCGAACAGTTCTTTTGCTGAATAGCGGTGGCGCAATGAATCACTTGTTGAGGCATGCAGCTGGATAGAGATATTAGACATGTTGGAGAGGTAAGAGGAAAAACTGTACTAGAAACAGAGATACAAAAGTAGAAGGAACGATAGGATCTGGAACCGTGAAGCGAGTGCACATACAGGATTTCGAAAGAAGATCGCAGGACAAAGATGAGGGGAGCTGGCTGAGCAGGTTCATGCCGTTAAAGTGCAGTAGAAGTAAAAGCAATAAACACTAAATGCCGTGATCTATGAGAAAGTTGAGAAAAGGAAAAAAAAGAAAAGTTGGAGAAAACCACAAAGTGAATTACGAGACAATGACAGGATGAAAAACCAAAATAGAGTAAAGCAACGATGCGGAAATACTGAATGAGAAACAGAAAAAAATGCTCAGAAGCAGGGTCGGTCCTATCGTTGGTACTTTTGCAAAATTTTTACGACCCCCTCCTTCACGAGAAGTTTCATACGACCCCCTCTTCACAACTACTTTCCCTCAAAAAACACCGTCGAGCGGGGGAGGGAGGGGGTATATACGCACGCTGAAACGGGAAACGGCAAATTTTCTCCAGCGCGCTCTCATCTCATCACATGTTTCGTGCTACCTACGACCCCCCCCTCCAAGTCCATCCAAGTACGACCCCCCCCCGCTTGCTACTTGTAGCAACGTAGGGTTGACCCTGCCTAGAATGACGTACACGGTAGAGGCAATAAAGGGAAACCAACATCTGAAACGCAAAGCGAACAAGAAGGGTGCGATAAAATCAATAAAAAGTCCAACAGGTTCTCTTCTACTACTTCAATTCCGTTCAATTTCTTCAATTCTGAGAGGGACTATTCCCATGGCTATTATCTATGAGTAGCTCAATAACACTACGTGTAACTCGAAAACTATACTTTTTTTTTACCTTGATTCCGCACCCAGAAATCAAGCCACATCCTAAGAAGGACAACAGGTTGCAAGCTTTCTTAGCTATAGAAACAAAAGGGAAGAAAAATGGGATAAATTTGTTTCCCGAACAGACTGTTTTCATTGAGTCTACTACACAACTCCCAGGAAATGTTTATGTACTGCGGTATGAAAAGAGCACACCAATATAGGGACGAAGTTTCGCAATGCATGGTGCATACAGCTCTTCCACTCATAACTGTAAAACATTTTTATGCGCACCATTCTCAGTGAGAACCTGACAAATAACGTCGCACGGAGTGCCGTCATCTTCACAAAAAGCTGGTAAAATTTATGCGAGAGCGATTAAGATCAGGAACTAATTTTAGCGCGTCGCAAAGATGTCTCACGTTCCACAGATGTGGTCTCTGGGCTACCTTTCTCTGACGCGAGGAGTCTAGAGAACAAGGAAAGAAAAGAGCAGATACTAAGTGAGTAATGTTCTGAAAAACATACCACGTTTCACCCTCATCCATAGAGCATAAATCGGGAGAGTCCGAAAGAGTAGGATGAGGTCGTTGAACATTTCCTAAACATCAACACATTAGATAAACTGAACCACGTTTTGTATATCACTTAAAGCCTTGTGCAAGGATAGTTATTGGTAGAAAGTAAAGCTAAGTTACGCTGTTTTAAGAGGAATATTCTGCAGCTACTTAACAAAAACGACAAGCCCGCTCCTGTTGGCATAACGTTTGACAATAATCGGAAAACTGTTTCTAAGGACGTTGGGTTACAGGTAAGACAGTTCCCCTACGCAAAAGTCCACACTCCCGCTTCATAATGTGATCATCATGTCCTCTCATCATGCATTTGGGCTGTGAAGGTCACATAGCTTTTAAATTCATGATATCAAAGCGGGAGGGGCAAAAGAGCAAGAAAAAAATAAAAGTTTTCGGCATATTTTTTCTTCCGATTCAAAAAAGAAAGCAGCACCAAGGAAACAATTGAAAATATTGAGAAAATATAGGGGGGGGGGGGACAAAATAAGCGCAAGTAACTGCAAGCGGTGGCTCCAGAATTCAGTTCCAAAAAGTACAGCTCCTGATGAGGCTCGCACTGGTAGGCTTGCTGAGCTTGCTAAGGATGTTCTTCGTAAAAAGCTGAAGGAACGAGAAGTTTGGATTCGGTCATTCGACCGATCAGCGACACTACAGTTACTTGATAAAACTTGATAGGTCATTGGGCGCCGCATCAACTTCTCCAGTCCGCTTTTTCGAGCGTAGATCAGTGATGACCTCGCAAATGTTGAGCAACTTTGAATGGCAAGCCAAACGTCATCCTCCATAATCGTAGAATACCACACTATCCAATTACTACTTATCACGAAGCATAGAGAAAAATTTGAAAGGAAAATTGATGGGTTGCTCGGACAAGCGGTTGTAGGAGGCTATTTAAACTAGGTCATAAGATTTTCAAGAGGAGGCTCTGGAAGTTTTTTAGCAGGGAAGCTATTTGATTGTAGATTATCAAAAGCGTATACATTGTAGGCTGACATTGGTATTTGTATGAAATGAACAATTGACAATTGATGCCGTGGCAAAAGGCGCATTACTTTTGGGATGACTCATTACATACTACTTTCTCTCAAAGGAAAAAAGCGCAACAGTTTCTCAATGATCACAACAAAATAGGTGGTGAATTACCAACTACGAAATCATGACAACATTCCAAGGAAGGATGGGTCAACTTCAAAGGTCCACAAAGGATAATTGTTAGCGACTGTCTAAGTAAGACCAACAGCATCAAAATATGGCTCAAATCCTCTGCATGATCTTGTTTATTCATGTCGCGAGGTTCCTTCATAATGACTGTCGGAGATCAGCGGCCGATAGCATGGGCATGGCACTATTGTAGCGCGCGGACCACAAAAGACCAGCAGGAAATACAAAGGGCAACATACGGTCCAACATGAAAATAGACGAGGAGAGCATACAGCAAAAAGGTCGCGCCCTTCTGAATGCGCCTAAACATGTTCCTTTGCATTGGTCCTCGCCAAAGGAAGCTGTGGTATCTATGAACACAAACCATAGCCATCCAGAGCACTCAATGCTTGTTGAACTTCCTATTGACTAACAGCGTACCTCACCCAATGCAAAGGGAAAGAACTACCTTAGAAAGAAACGAGCTAAATAGCGGTGCTAACAAAAGAAAATGAAATCAGGAGGGTCACATATTTTTGTCGTTTTTCTCGATCACGGAATACAAGTTGCTCAACCGAAACATTTTCCACTATTTTCTTCAACCCTTCTTCCATATGTATGACAAACGGGCAATACTGTCAAGATGACACAGTTTCAGTTTCGAAGTGACCAGTTCACACTCATTTTTGCACCCTTGATCTTTTCGGAATCGTCTGCCAGCAAGGCCGTAGTGCGTCGAGCTGATAGTGGTTATCAGAAGACGGCACGTCTGCTGACTATGCTAGAGGTAGAAAGATCTCCCAATCAAGCTGCAAAAGTGGTACCAAGATTTCCAAAATTTGATTTTGCGCCGAGCCGACTGGCAAAAATTCGCGTCGCAACCATTTTTTCTCTGTTTTGGATTATTCAAAGCATGCGAACACTTCAAACAGTCCCTCTAGAATCTTCTAATTAGTCTGTGAGCTCCAGAAGCGTGATAATACTTGAAAGTACGATGATTAATTGTTAATAGTCATCACTGCAGATGGGTTGTGATAGAGGGTGATCACAATAATCTCCCCAAGATTGATGAGGTTCATAAACCGAATTCTTGAAATTAATCAGCAGTAATAAAGTGCTCCAACTTCCAAGTCCATAACGCTTGAAGAGCAGGATTCTACACAGGAAATTCTTTCCAACATGTATACTCAGGTGTGGTCACCAGAGACAATTTTCAAAGATTACGCAAAAAGGTTCAGTTTCCGAAAGGAAACAACCTATGAAACCCATTCTGGGGACGGCCGCGATTGGAGACAAGTGAATGCATGGGAAGAAGCGCGCCTGGGGACGGCCAAGTATCAAGTGACGCATTGGAAGAATCGGGTAGAAGCGTTCAATAATGGATATCACCAAGACAAAACGATGCTGAAGACAAACGCAGCAGAATAGTTGTGTGTATTCAAGTTAGGAGAGGGGGACACGTGATGGCATTTTCGCAATAGCTAATGTAGAGCATGAGCCAGGGGGATAAGGCCATTCACGGGGGTGAGGATGAGGGCAACCACTGCACATGCGTGGAAAGCTGGGATGTTCGAGCTCACACTAGTTCGCCGAGAAACTGCATCATGATACTCCCCTAACTGGAATAGACTCGAAAAGTGTTGTTTCCATAGTGAGAGGCCAAAAAGGTTTCTGGTTAAGGCACTCCGAAAACCCAGTGAGGTCGCTCCCGTCGTCAACATATGTGGCAGATGGATGGGCTGGGAAACTCGCAACAGTCCTTCGACGTTTTCAAATTGTTCACCAAAGCAAAAATTTATTTATAGGTGATACAGAATCATTTTTCGTGGACACCCCTTCAAAAAACTATAAGCAACGGCGGAGAAACCGTTATATAATGTAGAGCAATATCAAATAAGACAGTTTCTAGCGGAGCTGATACTTTTTAAGCTTCGTTTACTGTCACTGAATAGCGCTAACCAGAAATAAGTTAACCATCAAATTTCGCCTACACTCAACCGCTCCTTCCTTGTACTTTCTAATTTCGGAAACCACATCTTTCAACACAGCTGAGCACTAGACCCTGAGCTAGAGCGACATTGGCCATCCTTGGGTTCGTGTGCAGATATGTCCTACTAGATTTATGTTTGGAGCTTCCCACCTGGGAGGATGTTCAGAAAGTGGAGCGCTTTACCAAAAGTTTTGTTGCCATCTACAGGGGTACAAGAACGGAGAACAGGAACGTGTTTTATCTTTTCTGACCGGCCCTCCGAATACCAATAAAGGAGCGAAGGAATTTGTTTGTAACGTTTCACAGATTGTGGTCCAACACAACCATGTGTAACACATCGACTAACTGCCTTTGAAAGGTTGTTGTGAGCTAAGCAATGAAAACCGCAAACATTCTTGAGAAATGGAATTGCATGCTGTCCTGACATAATCAGGAGGGTGAAGCTTCTTCGTAAGTGTGAGCTTACAAAGGCGCAATTGCCCGGGTGTCTGCGGTTGGATTCGCTAGTGTCGAACTTTTGTGATACTGATTGGTGCTCTAGAGTGCTCAAAATAGCAGCAACACTAGAACTGATGCCTATATTATATAATCTACTGACTGTAGGACGGTTTTCACTTGGAGTGGTAGAGAAAAGTTGTGCCGTCAAAATGACTTCAAATAAAAATCTCCAAAAATGAATATTGAACAGCCCGTACAGCAAGTTTTGGAAAACAGATAATTCGATCTATGTTCGCAAAATTGGCTATAGGCGCCCATAAGGCACCACGCTGATCTTGAACGCACTCACTATTATCCTCTCGCAAGCGAAGTTCCTTAAGATATTTTATGGTTGTTGCAACATAATCCGTTTTTTTTATTACATAAATTTGTAGAAACAGCGACAACTCGAAGCAGTACATGGATACTAACTCATATACTTATACAGGCTTCGCCATTCCTTCCGCAGATTTCAGGCACTTAGATGAAGCGTGAAAGAAAAGCAGTTTAGCAAGAAGTCAAAGGGTTTCAATCCGGTCTTTGCAGCTCTCTGCTGAGTTTTTTTTTTCGTGACCTTCAGCTTGGCTGTCCGAAGTGAGTCCATGAAGCCATTGTATTTATTTGTCATCGAGTCATGGCACGATTTGATATAGGCCCTTTGTTTGTAAAAACCTCCCGTGACCGCTTGAACTAGATTCAGCTACTCAAGACATCATAAAATTGCATGCACACGCGCGAACTTCGTATAAAAGTCATCATCAATGACAATTTTGTAAAAACCAAGCGAAAATAATAATCACTGCTATATCTCATCAAGTCGAATGAATGCACAAGTATCTCTGGAGACTGAAAAGCTGCCAAGTGGTGTGAAAGTAACTCTGTGCGACACCTATGGCAACAACCTGCTATATAAGCCATAGCCACTAAAACAAGTATAAAGCGCAGATCACGAAAAAGAGTACTAAAACTGCGTGGTGAACCTTCAACAATTTCGTAGGAGTCGTCTTCAAAGAGGGAAAACATTAAGCAAGTTACGTGGAGTGGTGGAGGAACGCCTTGCTATCTTATCCTTTGTCTTAGAAAGCACTGTTTTGAGTTCTCTAACGCTAAGAATAAGATAATATGTGAACGACTCATCTGAAGTGCACTTTTGACAAAAACCGGTGGATGTCCCTCATTTCATACCTCATGCACACATACTATCCAATTTTCTGCACAAGTTCACCAAGCCAGGAGCTTTTCTCCCTTAGGCGAGCGAAGGTCTCATTCACCTGGCTCCTTCCTCGGACTGTTGCAGGTCAAATAGTAGACTTCACACCATTGCCAACCACTACCCGTACTTATCAAGTACTAAACTATTAAACAGATTCCCAAATTACGGTCACGTGGCTTCTCATTCTATTTCAATGTACTATTCGACACAGGAAATGCCCCTACCCCAAACTCTATTTTCCACGTCTAATTTGAGCAAATGGCATGCGATAACATTTATGCACTCACTGTATTTCAATTCCCCAAATACGCCTCTAACATCTTTGCTAAAGATGAAGAAAGGTGAGGCAAAGAGAGACAGATCGACAAGGATGGCCACGGACAAAAACCAGCACCGACCTTCCCCTATGTAGTGGCGGCGCGTTAAAATCGCGCAACTCGTGATGGAAAGTCTAACCCGGCACACTCATCAAAAGATTCGAGACAACTCCGAGAGGCCTTCTCCCGAATGAGTGCTCAACCGTTGCAAGACGATAGCAAAAGGAAAATCGACAAAAACCTGCGACAGTTCTTACTGACCAACTTAATAATTACATTATTTTGCTTAGTGCAGCATAACACATTGACGACAGCATGGCAAGCATGTAGGTAGTGTTTTCACACGGATGAAACTCATTTTGATCGAATTTATTCGACAATTTTCATGTTTCTGCCCGTCTACACCATCCGATCAGAAAAACACATAGCATATCCAAAACCAGCATCCAAGCCCGTGATCAGCAGCCAGCGCGATCATTCACAAGCAGAGCTACACAGAGATTCATTGAGCACGCGATTTCTCACTAGTTGAACCTTCCTCCATGCTGCCATAGTCGTGGAAGGCATATGGGCCCGCGGGCCGCGCCGCGCCCGCGCAGTACGTAGAGGACAGCTGCGGTGTCAGCTTCGAACATTCTTACCCTGAGAACCTGTAAACCACGGCACTTGCTGTGAGGCAAACGCTAGAGCGCGTGATCACTGTAGTTACGAGCATCCATCTAGGTAAAAGAGTGCAGGAGATGGCGGCACACTGACACTTTTAAAAGGACCGAGCAATGAAAGGAAAGCTCAGGACGCATCGCAGTCGGCCGCCCAGTCGTAACGATCGCACAGTTTAGATGCGTATCGATCGCCAGACGTGTGCACTGACTGGACAATCAACATGTATTTAAACGCTAGATCAATACGCTACTATCGAGGACATGAAGACCATTCTGATGACGGATAGTATGTACTGGAATGTCCTGCAGCATGTAACAAAAAATGGAAGAAAGTGACAAAAGGAAAAAAATATGACGCCGCGCCTGCGCACCAGCCTGCCGTCAATGTGTTAAAGGTATCTATAGCACCCGTCTTCTTGTGATACGGCCTCACAGTCGGCTCTCTTATGGACTCGGTGGCCCTGCACTAGTAATTCCCTGATGAGATTTATAATACGGTTATTTATTCAGACTGCATATAATCTATTGCAAGTCAACGAATTCACACTAACTTGTGAACCTTTATGACCATTTTTTCGTGAATTCCCTAGGAGATAGAAACCGAAGTTAATCGATGACTGAACTGCTCTTATAACTTCGTATAATGTATGCTATACGAAGTTATTACATAAATATAAATGGAAATGAATAAATCAAGAGCAGCACAAACCCACGCTATTTGACGCGCACCGTTTAATGTACGGTATACTGCCCTAATCTCCTGAGCTTACAATCTTGTCGTTGGACCCAAGTCCAGCGTTGATGGATCACAACCGCTTGTATTACTTTTAGTTCATAATTGAAATGAGATATGAACAACAGAGCCATCTAACCATGAAAAAAAAAAACCGTTGACAGGATGCTTTTGGATCTTGAATTTACTGACAAAATGTCAAAATATTTATGAAAGCGTTATGACCTCCTGAACTGTTATCAATTTGTATGAGAACAGTGTTTAGGACAACCACTTCAAGTGACTTCTTGCATCACATCGATTGCTATAGATTAGGAAAAATACTAGAAAAAAAATCACCATTTGGCTTCTCCTCCTTTTTCGATCCAATTTTTTCCCTTGAGTTCACCGGCTTTCCCTTATTACCATAGTCGACCTCGATTTCGATTTTCTTCCAATTGTTTCTACCTTTCGAAGATTTTTGTCCATTTCCTATACTCTCCTGATCTTCCTAAAGAAAAGAATTCAGAACGCTTGAATCAACGTCCATTTTAAACATTCATCTTGTATGCACATATAGTGAGCTCAGTGTCCAGTATATTGGTTTTCATACAATCTCGTGATGTTTGAATCAAACGGTTCACAATCCTAAAGCGCCCATGTTAAAGTAAGATGCTACAGGTTCCACCGATAATGTGAAAGATCATGCAAACACATCTGCAATAAAGGCTATGACACATAATGCATGATGTATCCCACGTTTAGTCGTGCGCTGTTTGCAATGATAAACATGCGGAGATCAGGCAGCTACTGCGCCAGATGCTTTAAATCTCTCGAAAAAGAAAAAAAAACTGGAATCATCAAGAATTTCTCACACTAAAATGGCCGAACTAGAACGGCACTAGTAACAACAACTATTGATTAACAGCCAAAAGGCCCGATGTTTTAAAACTGCGTGTAGCTCCAAAATTGGATTATCACTGTACGAGAAAACGACGAATGATATCGGCTCTGATGAACATTTCGAGTCACACCCCTTTTCCTCTGAAATTAACTGAAGAGGAGGTTAGCAAACACATACACCAAAGACGATAACGCGAGAATAAAAAGTGACTCAATACTTCGCAGCTATCGGTTGAGCAGACAGCAGCCTCCGATCGACACATTTGACAAGTAGTTTGTAAGGTTCAGGGAAAATGGTAACGCATTTGGCGGTCTGAGGCTAGCACACTATGATAATCCTGCCAAATAGAAAAATTGTAAACTTTACTTCGTGATTTTCGTAACTCCGTAGCAATTCATCTGCACCACGAGTGTGGATTGGGTATATAGCGAATGGGACTTTGCAAGCGCAAAATCAAAACTGCGAATCACCACTTGAGGTGCAAGCAAATTGTAACTGGGACGCAAAGTATGACCGCATCCTAAGCTGATCTAACCTTTGATAAGAATACCAAGAAGTGAAAATGATCTATTCGCATCAGGGAGGATGATAGACAAATACCAAATTGTGATCAACTAGATAACAACGTCACGGAGCTGCCCGTATTAACGCTACGATTATACCGAAAAGAAAAAAGGTATCGACGGCCCTCAAATCGCCAAAAATTTAAAATACGCGTGTCGCAAATGTGTCAAAACTGGGAAAGTTTTTGTATCATACCTTGGCTGATTCAGCCGTGGGAGAATGTTGCCGAGAATCGATTCCGTTGGCTAACATCTCGTCCTGCTTCGCAGCATCCAAAGTAGGCCACTCTGGATCCACAGTCTTAGACTTGGCTACATCTGTTGTCGCTATTGTTACTGGATTGTTAGAGATAGACAAATCCTTACCCTGAAAAAGATAAATGGGAAATAATAAAGCAGAAAAAAGGAACGAGTGATACAGGAAACTGAACATTTAATTTACCTCATCCTCCACTTGTTTACTTTCTTCAACTTTTTCTGTGCATCCAGATTCTGAACCTTGGTTGGAGTCGCACGACCCTGCAATTAAAGTATTGATTGAATGGAAAGAAACTCGCCCTTACCCCTCTGACCATTACCTTTGTTTCTAAACCACGCATTCACAGCAGGCAGAGGGGCTGGCTCCAGCACAACAGGTTCAGGTTGAGGGGCCACCGGTTCCTCAACAGCAGGAGTTTTTTCTTCCTTCACGGGTTCTGGCTTAATTCCACGCTTTTCTTGACGATCCTTGTACTTCGGCGGGCGACGCCTATTTCCGAAATTCCTGTCATGCTTCTCATTTCGGTCTATGCGGTCTTGGCGTTCACCCTTGTCATGTCTCTTGTCACTTTTGTGGTCCATTTTCTGACCAGAACGAGGCGGTGAAGCAGTTCGACCTGCTGGATTTTCAGCAGCTGATTCTCCTGTTTGGCCAGAGACCACCTTAGCAAACGAGAGCATGGGCTGCCTCTCGGCCATACCTCCCCTTCAATCCAGGTTGGTCACCTCCAGCGATCGTCCAAAACCTCAAAAACTTATCAGTAGTTCAAGGCAAAAAGAAAGTAACGAACCGATGCTCAAATGCCCAGACGACACAACAAATTACCGTCATATGCTTACGTGCTTACAAATCACTTCACTTACAAACAGATTATGAAACCGAAAGAATTATTATTAAGGGCGGAGCGTGAAACGAGGGGTGACATCGTTTGGCTGCGTGGAACTTCTGAGAGCAATGCCTGGAACCATCGCAGGCGCACATGTCCAGTGGGTTGCTACGCAGTGGGACTGGCGCATTGTGTGGAAAACGCGTCGTGCGCCCGCAGGGTCGATTGACGCAAATACCGTACCATTCGATGCCGGCTGTTTTTTGCGCAAGTGTCGATTGAACCGCGTCCGTTCGTTGCATCCGTTGATTTCCGAGGGACTGTAAGTGTCGATGAAGTCGATGTGGACGTTGCCGAATGTTGCTAGAAAGCTTCGAGGAATCCTCGACCAACTTCGTCGACATCAACGGTACGTCGAAACACTCGTCGGAGAGTTGTAGCCAACGAGTGTTGGTAGGGTCTATTCCAGGGGTGTGGTTCGGCGATGGCGCGGTGCTCTGTCCGCAAGGCTTAGTCCACAGGGACAGTTACTCTTTCGCCATTATGTGGCAGTTTCAAAATACGCGCCATCGGTGACTAAGCCTTGGTAGAGCAGACGAAAACAGCGCCGCGCCATCGCGTGCCCCCCTCCCAAACTCGACCCAGCGTTTTTTCTTCAAAGTGTCGTAATAAC